ATGAGATATATACAGATGAATCAAAGGCAGAAAGACAAAAAAAAAGCGACTCATTGGTATGCTCTAATAGGCAATGCTCACAACGAAGACGTGGGAGAAATGACAAAGAACAAGGGTATTATTGTGGATAAAACGGGGAAATAATAGAAATGTTGAAGGTCGGTGTTATAATTTACCCATCCCATCCCAGCTCAACTCCGCCATTTACAAATACTAGTTTTGTGAATGAAATTTTAAGAAAAGCAGCTTAACTGCAGGTTCTCAAACACATCATTACCTGTTTTACAAAATTAAAAGAGAGTGAAAGGTGATTGTAAAGTTGTGGTGGAGAGCAACTTCTTGAATAGTTACGATAAGAATTATAAATATATATTTATTCTAAAAAATCAGAGAACAAATTTTTATAACCACCACAATTTAACAGGTCAGGTTGAAAAAAGTTGCTTCTCGCTACATAATTTTTTATAAATTAACAAGAAAACATATACTCGAACAAAGCTGTGATGGCGGCCCGAAACTCCAAACAAGCGGTAAGCTGTTCCAAATAAACCCTAAGTCTCATACAATGTTGTGGTTTAAGAAATAAATTTTTCTAAATGTGTGTTATGATCTCCAAATCAAAAGAGATTTACTTGAGACAAACATGAACAAACTTTACTAAATCGTGTTTAACTCAATTTGGTTACAAGTAATTCAATAATTAAATAAACAACATTTATTAAAACCTATTTATATTAATATTTTATATTTTATTAAAAAATGCTAAAATTTGTTATTTTTTAAAACTTTAGAGCTAAATTTGAGTTGAATATGAATCACAAACAAGCAAGAAAAAATTGAAACATGTTAAACAAAAACAAACCATTCACAGGTCATTTCATAGGAGTCAATTTCAAACAAAAAAAAATTAAAAAAATTGAAAACAAACAAAGGCTCAACTCACTCAAATTTAACCGTTCACACCCTAGTGATATAACAGGTGTTTTGAAAAGCAAGGCACTTCCAAAAAAAAATTTAAATAAATAAATAACATTCCAATGAATCTAAAATGTAGTTATGCAGGAAAAAAAATTATTAATAGCTGTAAAAAAATCATATTTTAAAAAAATATCATTATGTATTGTAAAAAAAAAAATCAAACATCAAATTTCTAGTTGCTATCAAAACCTACGGAAATGATTGCAAGAAGCATCTCTCATCGTAAAAACTATTTTTTAAAAACAAATGATTTATAATCAAATAAAAATGAGGCAAAAATCTCAATCAAATTTAAATTCAAGGAAAAACTCATTGCTGAAAAAGGGCTACAATATCCAAAAATGAGATCATTGATGCAAAATATTTAAAAGCAATAATACTACAAAAGTAGCAGTGTACCGTTGCGTATAAGAAGCTCGCTACATAATTTTTTATAAATTAACAAGAAAACATATACTCGAACAAAGCTGTGATGGCGGCCCGAAACTCCAAACAAGCGGTAAGCTGTTCCAAATAAACCCTAAGTCTCATACAATGTTGTGGTTTAAGAAATAAATTTTTCTAAATGTGTGTTATGATCTCCAAATCAAAAGAGATTTACTTGAGACAAACATGAACAAACTTTACTAAATCGTGTTTAACTCAATTTGGTTACAAGTAATTCAATAATTAAATAAACAACATTTATTAAAACCTATTTATATTAATATTTTATATTTTATTAAAAAATGCTAAAATTTGTTATTTTTTAAAACTTTAGAGCTAAATTTGAGTTGAATATGAATCACAAACAAGCAAAAAAAAAATGAAACATGTTGAGCACGAGCAAATCATTCACAGGTCATTTCATACGAGTCAATTTTAAACAAAAAAAATTTTAAAAAATTGAAAACAAACTATCACTCAACTCACTCAAATTTAACCGTTTACACCCTAGTAATATGACAGGTATTTTGAAAAGCAAGGCACTTCCAAAAAAAAAAAAAAATTTAATAAAAAACATTCCAATGAATCTAAAATGTAGTTATGTAGGAAAAAAATTTATTAATAGTTGTAAAGAAATATATATTTTTTTTAAATATCATTATGTATTATAAAATAAAAAAAAATCAAACATCAAATTTCTAGTTGCTATCAAAACCTACGGAAATGATTGCAAGAAGCATCTCTCATCGTAAAAACTATTTTTTAAAAACAAATGATTTATAATCAAATAAAAATGAGGCAAAAATCTCAATCAAATTTAAATTCAAGGAAAAACTCATTGCTGAAAAAGGGCTACAATATCCAAAAATGAGATCATCGATGCAAAATGTTTAAAAGCAATAATGCTACAAAAGTAGTAGTGTACCGTTGCGTATAAGAAGGTCAAAGCTCAAACCTCTTGAGCGATTCTGCTTGGGAGAGAAGATATAGAGATGCAGGCATTATCTAAAGCTGGTTCAAGCCCAAGATCTATCAGTCAGTCTTTCTCCAGCCTTGCTATGTACTGGTCATAGAACTTCCCTGCTTTTTCAAGATCTCCAAGCTCAGTGTAGCAGTCTGCTATTGCTCCATAGGCCTCGGTTATGCCGGAGTTTTCGCCAACCTTGCTGGCTATTTCGAGAACTTTGGAGTGATATTTTATGGCTTCTTTGTACTTGCCTTGCCTCTGCAGAGATGCCCCTGCATGACAAAATAATTAGCATGATCATGAACGAGTTTACAAATTGGTCAAATCAGTTGTAACTGAAAACTGAAATTCATAAAATGAAACCAATCAAAATTTTGATAAAATCAAACTGGCTGGACCTAAATAAATTTGGTTTCAACGGTTCACTTGTGGACAAATCGAAATTTAATTGTTAGTTGGAATTGGGTTACCAACAAACAAAAAATTACATATCTTACATATATCATATCGATTTACTTTTATGAATTATTCATTTAATTTTTTATTTTTTGTTTTTTTGGTGTGTTCAATTAAAAGCCGAATATTAAAGTCTTAAGAATCAATAAACAAAATGCATTTTTGAAACCGAATTGAAGCAACCAAATTTCTTCGGTTTGGTTTGATTTTTCCGTTTTTACCAAATAATGCACTTCTAATCGTGGAAAGCTCAGTGCATCAAATATCAGGGAAAGCTCTTTATATTTGGTGCAGTAAATATCTGCCTGTAGGCTCTAGATTGTGTATTCAATTCCAAACTCTATAATGGTTGAAAAAGTTCCAATTTAACTGATTTTTTTTTATTATTGGCATCTTTGTATGAAAGAAGAGATTGAAAGTGCAAAAATACTTGAGAACAGCATCTCCATTTGAATCTAGAAACAGAAAAAATACGATGGAAAAGAAAACTTGAAATATTATATTGTTTTTCCAGAAACTTATATCATATTACTACATTTAAGAGAAAAAAAATGATATTATTAGACACTGAGTACTACATCAGTGTATGATTTAAATAAGGGGCATTTACATATATACCACATAATTCTTATAAAATTACATATCTAACACCTAAACTATTATTTTTACATTTGTAACACGGTAATAATATCATTTTTAATAATAATTAAGTTATAATAATAATAATAATAACAATAATTACTTGGTTACGACATGTTTTTGCAGATGTCGTCTGTGTCAAGACCCGGCCAGGGACTAGTAATTAACCAGGACGGAAATGGGCAATCAGATGATGGGAACTAATTTACCTTGTTACTAGTTGTCTGCTTTATTCATAAACATTTTTATTCTATCACTCATCTTTTAATCACTTAATTAATCGAAAAAGCTAGTTTAAAGTAATAATGACCTAGACAAGCCAATAAATACTCATATTCCCAAACTACAATAATACAAAAAATAAAATAAAATGCATGTCAATTAAACGTTTAATAAATAAGATTAACATTCATATATTATCAATGAATCTTACTATATCAATAATATATCAATATCGTTTTATATCTGTAAAATCGTGACAAGAGCATCGTCTAAGAAAATGTATCAGTTAATATATTTCAATATCAATATCATTTTTCATTTATGTGCACGGGTACCTCAGTGTTCCCCTACTAGTACCTTAAAAGAGTGATTCCATCATAATCAATTATGCACATACAAACATACAATAAAAATATCACTTCTTTAATAATAAAAATTTCATTTTCATTTGCATAGTTATCAATATACTTGTGCAAGATTTAATATCTACGATAATTTAAACGAATCTGAGTACATAGGTCATTTATACAATACGAGCAAAATTCAATACAACAATAAGTTATCACTATGCAGTGTTATAAAAGTAACAAAAAATGCATTTGGAATAAAATATTAAAATATTAAAAGAATATGAGTGCTCATCTTGATGTTGATTAATTTGTTATTTGATTTGTGACTCTTCTAAAATTGGAAGCCTAAATATTGGTGCTCATATTACAAAATTTAATTTAATTTATTTATTATTTAAATTAATTGTTTAAAATATATTATTTAATTATTAATTTCTATTATTTTACTTTATGAAATCATAATTAGCTTTATTTTGCTATAATATAAACCCAAACTCTCCTTATTGATGTTTGCTCAGGTCAATCTTCTTCTAGGATTTCGCCTCATGACGATTTTATCGGGTTTAGCTTCAGTTATACGCCTTGAGCAAGTTTGAATGGGTCAATCTTCCTCCTTTCTGCTCGCACACTTCACCTTCATCTTTCCCCTCTAAAGCTGAAGTTATACGCCTTGAGCACGCACGCACGCACACACACACAAATATATATTTGAAAAAAACCCAAGGGCTAATATATTAAAGAGAAAAGATATAGATAGGTTGTATGAGTGGGCCTAAACAATAGACACCCAACCCACACGGTACAACACATACAAAAAAGTCAAAAAGGATATAAATAAATAAAACTCAAAACCACCAGGACGCAGAAAAAGTAAGAATCATCCCAATTTAGTCATACCCTTGCCTCTAGTTCTCGGAAGGGATCCAACTAACAAATTGATAAGGCACGTACCATTACCCGAAGTAACCAAAGTATTATCCATAAAATTCCTGAGCTCAAGTAGATATCCACTCTTCTTCTTCCTCTTGTAAGTGTAAACTTGTCATTCCTCCTCCGAAGAATCAGTCTGATGAGATGGTAGAGTTGTAGCAGAAGGAATACCAATCGTAGTACCCACTATAGGTTCTAGTATATGTGAAGTATGAGTTAACTCTACACCGAATACTTCCTGAAGATATGAGCTACGAGGTTCTCCTGATTATCAGTCTGAACACTATCCTTTGTAGATAATAGTCTTTCAGTATTGCTTTCTATGGGGTTTGAAGGTGCCAATGTCACATCAATCGCAGTAACAGTAACAACAGTGTCGGGGGGGTTCCACATAGGCAACGGGCACCTCCTGTTTGGTAGTATCTTCCCCAAGTGGAACTAAAATGTCCAGAGCAGTGGGGTTAGCCCCACCCTTATTCACTTGAACCTTAGATTTCAAATTACGATGGAACTTGTGGCATTTATTAAGGATATGCCAAAACATCATACAGTGAGTACAATATGCAGGACTGTATAAAAACCTTATCATTTCTCTCGGTCAAGCCTTATCCATGAGAAAACTTCGTCTTCCTCCACCCCCAACTCATCCCGTCTTCTCCTCTGCACGATGTTTTCTTCAATGATTGGCACGATCGAAGCGCTTACCTGAAGACACACAACTCGCTCATTCCTCCTCTGTGTGTGATACCCGGCTCGTCTCCTTCGCACGGGGCTCTTTCCTTCCCTTTGATCGGTCGCACGACACCAACACCAACTTCTCCTCAGTTGCTCGAGACTAATACCGAGAACTCTTGCCTACCTTCTACTCGACAACGTCCCCTCCTGCACCTGATCATGATATCACTTCCCTCGTCTCTACATGTAAATAAATCTCGCCTTGTCGCATTATTTTTATAAATCAAGCTTGACTTCTAGGCTCTGCCCCCTCACTTCCTCTCCCATTTGTTTATTGTTCTCCCCTTATTGATTCATCTCATGTAGGAGACTTGATTCCTCTCCAACTAAATGAAACGAGATTTTACCATTTTCCCCACGTAAAAAAATTTCTTCCTCGAAATTCATAATCAAACCTCAAGTTATTGTTCATTAAGTAGGTAAATATTAGCTATCCATGAAACTAGGAATCATTTACTGAGATAAAAAAGCAATCACTATAAAGATAAAGACTCGATACAAGATGACTGAATTATATTTCGGATAACAAAGTTACTGAAACAAGAAAGTATGTTAGGAAAATACCCTTATGTATGAAAATGCTAAACTCATCAGGCTTAATCAACATCAACAGCAGTAGGTTCGTTAGGCTCACTATTAGTAAGAGAATATATCCAAGGTCGAACAAGTTATCTTGGTTGACCTTGGGTAGGAGCTGAAGCTATAGACTCAATTATTTTCTGCTCACTTGCAACCTTCTGTGAAGGAGCTCCACATGATTTATAATCTTCTGCACTCTTTTGGTCAAGAGATGGATAATACCGTGCTATATGACAAGGTTGACGACACCAATAACAAGTGTATTTACCTTATGTTGTCGTCTGCATTTAGCACAAGTGACTACATCACCTTAAGTCGTCCTTTGCTAACCCCACCCAAATTATTCTTGGACTTCTTCCCATTAGATCACTCTGATTGATCCACATGTCCTCCTTCATCAATACTCTTCCTTTTGTGTGCCTGCTTGTGCTTCTGAGTAAACTGATAACTGATCTCCACTCTTTTAGCTTGTTCCACTAATATCAATTATTCATTGATTGTCAGAGGCACCAATAGTTATCTGATCAAATCCTTTAATCCTGAAAGAAATTTATAACATTTTTCTTCTGCAGTAGTGATCAACTGTGATATATACCTTATCAACGCAGTGAATTCTGATTCATGCTTTGTGGCTCTCTTCATTCCTTACCTCAGCTTGATGAGCATGTCCTTCATTTGTCTTCAAACGAATAGAAATATAAACCACTCTTTGAATAACTCTACGAATTTCTCTCAACTGACCATTATATTGGGTATGTCCCCTAGCTAGTCCTAGTATTGCCTACGCCACTACCTTTCAACTTCGTCATCCAACACAAAAGTATCTAAAGACACCCTTCTTTCATCCGGACAAACCATACTATCTAATATCTTCTCTATCCTCATTAGTCAATTATCTGCTTCAATTGGGTTATCGGTTATCAGTTCCATTGAACAAAGATGGACATAAATTTTGAAATATCTTCATGAACTTACCCACGGTGAGTGTGCACTTCCGTTGAGTTATGATCTGAACTCCTAAGTCAGACGAGTCATCGTCTCCATCATGTGTGTCAGAACATCCAAACTCACATTTATAGTAGGTTATACTTTTTCGTTTTCTAGCAGATTCTCTTATTCTATAATTTTGGGTGTATCATTATGTATAAATAGATACAACTATTAATTTAACATATTTTTAACTTTTTTATTATTAAAAAGATTTTATAATTACTCTATTGGCTCTTTCATCAAAATTTCATTAATTAATCATAAAACTTGCACTCTGATATTAGTTTTGTCACAGCCTGACCTAGGGCTTGCAATTAACCAAAGTGGGAACAAACGTTCATATGATGAAAAATATGTTTTCTAGATTCATT